TGTCATCACTAGCTTGTCCGGAGATCTTAGACACAGGATCAAATGATTGGGAATTGTCTTGGACATGGGGAAATGGACTTTTGGGTGGTGGCAAACACAACATGAGGTCCTACATCTTCACCCTTAATCTAAAGGTTTTATGGTTTCGACTAAGAACCTTCCCTACAAACAATGGCCACTAGCATCGGCCAAAAACCTTACTTCTTCCTTCCAAACTATCACCCATCATGAACTACTTTCAAGCACACTTTCTCGGTCTATTCTTGCCATCACATTTCAAACATAGTAGTGAAGGGGTTCAACAACAATGTGGGTGTTCCAATGAATTGAGTGCCAAGAAACCCCTCCTATAGCACACACTTTGATTTTTGTGGCACTTTCTACTTTATTTACCTCATTTTATTACCTCTTTTTCAATTCTTTTTTTCTTTCTACTTTTCGTTTCTTTCTTTTTTTCTCTTTTCTTTTCTTTGGGGGGGGGGGGGGGGGGAGGTACTAGAGAGTAAAACACTTGCCACATTACATTAAACAACCAATGCTCTCTTTTTTGAACTTACCCCAATACTCCTCTTTTCTCTTTCATTCCTAGCAAGAACCGCGCAAAATCCTCGTACGTAGAACCTCAATGGATCTCCTAAGCACGAGCTCCGAGACACAAGGACGACTCACGTATAGACATGAGGAAAGTATGGGGGGGTTGTTCTATCAAACACCATTAAGCTCATAAGCGAAAAGCTCCTACAAGAGAATGACCCCCAAAGTCACAAGGCTCAAAGGGGTTTACTTGGGCATAGAATATTTTGGGACAATCAATATTTGGGTGTGGAATAATCCTATGCCTTCGTCATACTCACTAGTGACAACTGTGATGTTACTCGCCATGGTAAGAGGGATCTAAGCACACAAGAAGAAAACGATCGGCTCAAAACTTACATGGCTACCTAGTCACCCAAGCATATATTCCACTTCACAAAACACAATGCATGGCAATTATAATCAACAAGTAATCGAGTCAAGACATCCATTCACTTTTACACACATGAGAACTAAACCTTTGCACTATCCTAATGCATCTCTCAGTCATCATCATGGGACACACTCGATCACATGCAACAATTCAAGGTCAACGCCAATAAATACGTGATTCTCCCACAAACTGGCCCTTTGATCATACATCAAGGCTCCAAGCATTCAATCACACTCACACAAGCACATAATAAAATACCCCCCAACACTTATGTTCGGCATTGCCCTCAATGGCGTAAGATCAGGGTTCAAGAAGGCGCGCCTAGGCTCAATTAGGCGCTAGGCGGTGGAGGATCGCCTTGACTTGGCCATAGGCGTTGTAAAAGGCGCTGGTAGCGCTTAGTAGGTAGGAATAGCGCTTAGTTTGTGCCTAGTGGAGAGAAGGCGTGCCTGGGCGTTCTTGTGCGAGCTTAGGCGGTTAAACCCAATACTCTTCGTTTTGTCCTAGAAAATCAGAAAATTGCCTCTTGCCCTAGAAAATCAGAAACACGGGAAGAGGATGACCATGCTATGTATATATTCGTAGATGACAATGAGGAATCATATTGTGCACCCTCGAGTACTATTACAGATGCAATGGCGGGTGAACAGAGTGAGCTCCGAAGGAGTGCACGAGTGAGAGAGCTCCATGATGAAGAATTAGAGTCTGAAGAGGAGGAAGAGGAGAAGGATGGTGAGGAGATTGCTTTTGATGATGATGAAGATGAAGTGGTGGCTGGACGGACATACTTGGATGATGAAGAATGAACTTATTGACTATTGTTTAGTATTTCGACATTTTATGAACTTGTGATTCTAAGAAATGGTCACTATTTGCTTGTTATTTGTTATGTTAAGTGTTTACTGTTAAGAACTAGGCATTGCTAATTTTATATGCACTTGGATTATATGAATTATTCCAGAAAACAGGAAATATTTGAGAACTTTTTCCATTTATGCTCTGAATGCCTAGGCACGCCTAGACTACGTCTAATCAGGCAAGGCACAAGTCAGGAGCCGAGCGCCTGCCTTACGCCTAGCGCCTTTTAGAACCTTGCGTAAGATAGGGGTAGAACGATGTTACCACATGGCTTGGTGAGTGAAAGTTGGAATTTTTCCAGGGTAGGAGATTTGAGCTTCAAGGAGAAGACAAAAACACACACAACTCAAACATATACTCGCTCGAAGCGAGGTTATTACACATAACAGTATGATAGTAGTAGTAGAAAAACTTGCTAACCTCCGTTGGCTTGCCTCCCAACAAGCGCTAATTTTCCGTCTTAAGCTAGACGGAGACTTTGGACTAGGCATCTTGCAGGAGCACCACCTCCTTTTGGAGCATTTATTCTCCTTCAAGGTAACGTTTGAGGCGGTGTCCATTCACTTTGAAAGTTCCTTGCTCTTGGTGGGAGATCTCAACCACCCCTTATGGGAACACTTGCGTTACCACATAAGGGCCCGACCATTTCGACCTTAACTTCCTGGGGAATAATCATAACCGGGATTTGTACAAGAGTACCTGCTCTCTCGGTTGAAAAGAAAATCCTTCCCTCCTTTCAGTCGAGCATCATGCAAGCGCTTTGTCCTTTCATTGTAAATCTTGGTGTTTTCGTAGGCTTGGAGGCGCCAGTCCTCGAGTTCAAGCACTTGAAACTTCCTTTCATTTCCACACCAAGTAGGGTCCATATTCAATAGCTTTATGTCCTAGAAAGCCCTACGTTCTAGATCTACGGGCAAATGACACGCTTTGTCGTACACCAATTGGTAAGGTGACACCTATTAGGGTTTTGTAGGTCGTGTGGTACGCCCATAGAGCATCATCAAGTTTTGCGGACCAATCCTTGCGTGATTGATCCACGGTCTTTTCTAGTATCCTTTTCAGTTCCCTATTTGACAGCTCTACTTGTCCACTTGTTTGGGGATGATAGGCCATTGACTCCCGGTGGGTAACACCATAACGATCGAGGAGTTTGTTGAATTGCCCCTGATGATGGCCCTCGGGGTGCCAAATCGTAAAAACAGTTTTTTAAGAAATCCGCAGACCCGTCTTGCATCATTGGTGGGGAGAGCTTGAGCCTCGACCCACCTCGAGACGTAGTACACAACCACTAGAATGTACTTGTTTCCAAAAGACGAGAGAAAAGGACCCATAAAGTCGATGCCTCAAACATAAAAAATCTCACATGTAATGGAAATTGTTTGGGGCATCTCATTTTGGTTAGAAACATTACCTGTCCTTTGGCAGTAGTCACAATGACTCACAAATGTGTAGGCATCCCAGAATAGGGATGACCAATAAAATCCCGATTGAAGCACCTTCCTTGTAGTTTGGTTGGCACCATGATGGCCTCTAGTTGGTCCCTTGTGGCAGTGGCTTAGGATAGCCGTCATTTCCTTCTCCGGTACACACCTCCAAATGACCCCATTGGCCCCAATCCGAAAAAGGTGGGGATCATCCCAGAAGTAGTATCGGAGATCGGAGAAGAAATTCCTTTTCCCATTTGTATTCATCCCCTTGGGCAGTTGCCTTCCGACCAAGTGATTGGCGAAGTCGGTGAACCAAGGGGCGGCACTCTCAATAGTGGCAAGCACGAACAATCGTTCATCGGGGAAGGTATCATTTATCTCTCTTTGGGAGCTGCTCCCTCCCGGTCCTTCGAGTCGCGAGGGTGGTCCGCCACAAGAGTTTTGGATCCTTTTTGTATTTGATCTCCACATCAAACTCTTGGAGAAGTAGGATCCATCGGATTAGGCGGGGCTTGGCATCGGCCTTGCTCATCAAGAAGTGAATGGTGGAGTGGTCAGTGTAGACAATAACTTTCGAAAGCACAAGGTATGACTTGAACTTGTCAAAAGCAAAGATTATTGCCAACAACTCTTTTTCGGTAGTTTTATAATTCTCCTGAGCATCATTCGATGTTTTGAAGCGTAGCAAATGGGTTGAAAATGCCTACCCCACCTTTGTCCCAACACTGCTCCCACTGCATAGTCACTAGCATCACACATAAGCTCGAAAGGAAGGCTCCAATCCAGCGAGACCATTATGGGGGCATTCGTGATCTTTGCCTTGAGGATGTTAAACGCTTCGAAACACTCCATTGTGAAAAGAAAGGGAGCATCCTTCTCCAAAAGCTTTGTCAGTGGTAATGCAATCTTTGAGAATTTCTCCATGAAGCGTCGGTAAAATCCCGCATGCCCGAGGAAACTCATGATACCCTTGACCGTTGTTGGTGGAAGAAGCTTGCTTATTGTTTCAACCTTGGCTCGATCCACTTCAATTCCCCTCTTTGAAATTTTGTGCCCCAACACAATGCCCTCTCTCACCATGAAATGTGACTTCTCCCAACTCAAAGCCAAATTTGTTTCTTCACAACACTCAAGGACCTTCTCCAGGTTGGCAAGACAGTGAGAAAATGAATCTCCAAATACCGAGAAGTCGTCCATGAACACTTCCATTATATCCTCCACGAATTTATCGAAGATGGCCACCATGCATCTCTGGAATGTGGTTGGGGCATTGCACAATCCAAACGGAATGCGCCTATAAGCAAATGTTCCGAAAGGGCAATTGAACGTTGTTCTTGGCTTGATCTTCTGGAGCAATCAGGATCTAGAAGTACCCCGACAACCCATCCTGGAAATAGTAATAATCATGCCCAGCGAGCCTCTCAAGAATTTGATCGATGAAAGGAAAAGGGAAATTATCCATATCGGTGGCATCATCAGTCGCCGATAATCAATGCACACCCTCCACCCGGTCACCATCCTTGTTGGTATAAGCTCTTCCTTCTCATTAGCTACCACTGTCATTCCTCCTTTCTTAGGGACCAACTGAGTTGGGCTCACCCATTGACTATCCGAGATGGGGTATGTAACACCCTAACCCGGCCGGGTACCACTTTTACTAAAATGCCCTTGATAAATAAAATACTCAAATCTTAAATTGCAGCGGGAAAATTTTTCATAAATAAAATACTAAAAACACACACTTGTGGCTCAAATCAAAGCCCTAACATGTGGGCAAATTAAACTCAAACTTTAAAATCTCAATCTGATCTCTAGGCTATACTCATAATCATAAAATGCAAATAACTAGGTAGTCTCTGTCGTTGCTGCAACTGAAAATCTTAACTAGGCATCCTCCGTGACGCTTACACTGCCCTTCTCTAGCTGGCTGCCCTCGAACTTTTCCTCTCGAACTCGCTGCTCTCTAACTGCTCCTCTAGCTTGCTGCTACTGATCTGGTTCTCGCTCATTCCCTTACTAAGGCCTGATGAGTGAATTAGGGTCAGTCTACGCCCTAACATTTTAAACTTTCTAATAATTTTGCGCTTCTTCTCAAACACTTAAACTCAAACTGAGGGAAGTTGTTTGTACTTCCATTCTTACAAATATTAACTCTTAAAACGGTATGGGAGTAACTGTTACTCTCCATTCTTAAAGTTTAAATCTCAACTTAAAATTCGACTGACACGGGGATCCCTCACTAGCTAGTCCGGTTGCCCAACTCATACGTATGAGAAGCCCTCCAGGCTTTCCTTAAACTTAAACTTATCGTGGAAGGCTCTTCTTCCACGATTCTCAACAGCATAACTGCTGCTCATCTTAAAAATCTCAAGAGCATAACTGCTGCTCAACTTAAATATCTCAAGAGCATAACTGCTGCTCTATCTCAAAGATTTCAAGAGCATAACTGCTGCTCTATATGAAAATCTCAAATGGCAACAGACTGGCGCTAGCGACTAAAAACACTTAAAACGACTTCACCTTCTTGAAGGTGATGAGTTGCCTCTTAAAAAGAACTTGTTTCTTAAACTTTAACAATAACTTATACTCATAAAATTTCAAAATAAATAATGACCATTCACTTCAAGTCACAATTCAAACAAGACACATATCATCAACCATAATCATGCAATCTCAAACAAGAATCAATTACTGCACATACATCATGTAAATCAATACCCGAAAATACTGAAGGCAAATACTTGAAAACCATAAGGCGTAAAATTTACCCCTTTACACTCACCTCATAAGTTCAATTGGTTGATAACTCATATTGCTATTGAGCTTCGACTGATACGGCTATTAACGACTTGCCTTAACAAGCCTCGCACATGTGACTGAATCTGGATGAAAAGCTAGTGCACCTTTGTCCCTTCTCGTTCTTCCATGCTAATGGAATTCCACGTACAACGACAACCAAGCAAAAACATATCACTTAGATTGCTAAATATGCAATTCAACTACGTGCACATAAAACTTCCTAATCACCCACTTCAGAACCGCCTCCCACTTTTGCCAACATAAACCCCCTTCAATTTTGAAGCTACCACGTATATCAATCCATGTGTATCTTAAATAGCCATTGAATGAAAATCCTTACCTCATTATATTGCTGTGTTTGGACGTTCCCATGGTGACAACTAGCACCGCCCAGCTCCGTGCTCTTGATCCCGCTTCCATCACCGTAACCAAAGCTTTGACCTCTCTTTGGAGGAGAAATAGCGGTTTCTTTGTACATCCCCGCTCATCAACACTTTTATATGAGCGGCCTTCCCTGAGTTCTCTCATTGCCCCGTCAAGCCATAGGTCACGATGCGATCTCCATAATGGTGGTACTGGTACCGCGATGAAGAGAGGGACAGAGATCGAGCTAGAGGAAAAGGTTGGGCGGCGGATGGGGAAAGAGTCGCTCAAGCTCTTTACGATTGGGGAATAAAAAGAATGAAGGGTTTTGTTAGTTTGGGGCGAGGTCGAGTGGGAGGTAGGGTTAGGGTTTAATTGTGTCGGGTTAATTTTAGAATTTCCTAATTATGGGTGTGTTTAATCCGAAATTCAATTAACGTTCATAATTTTCTCACTTCATGTCTAAACTCGACACGTTTGAACTATTAGTTCACATTTTTAATCCTCATCGATAATTCGGTGGAACTTGACCCAAGGGTATAATAGTCATTTTGACTTTTGGGAAGAGCGGGGTGTAACAGGGTAGATGATCCAGGCATCCAAAAGCTTGATTACTTCTGCTTTGCCACTTCCTCCAGGTTGGGATTCACACGCCTTTGCGGTTGACGAACCAGTTTGGCACCTTCCTCCAAGAGGATCTTGTGCGAGCAAAAGGTTGATATGTTTCCTCGGATATCTGTGATCTTCCATGCGATTGCCCTCTCATGACGACGCAAAACCTCAATCAACTCAGTCTTTTGCTCCGGTGTAAGATTGGAGTTGATGATGACTGGGAGTTTGCCATCGTCCCTCAGGAAGGCATACTCAAGATGAGGAGGCAAAGGTTTCAACTCCAACTCGGGGGGTTCCTCCAAGGAGATAGGGATTTTAGCCATTGAGGGCAAGGCTTCCACCACCTGATCTTGCAGAAGTTGGCCGTCCTCCTCCGAAGATTCTGAGATGTTCGTCTCTACTAAACAACACTCTTCAGAAGGGTCAGAAGGGTAGGCACCCGCGGATGCGAGTGCCTCCATGAAATCAAAAAATTCATCACAGTAATTAAAATCATCATGATGTTGAGAAAAATTCATGCTCTCATTAATAGAGAAGGTAACCTCTTCCTCCCCTGGCCTAAGCACTAACTTTTCCTCATGCACATCAATGAAGGCCTTCACGGTAGCTAAGAAAGGTCTACCCAGGATGAGGAGGACATCGACGTTGTCATCAATGTCTAGAATGATGAAATCGACCGGATAAATGAGAGGCCCTACCTTAATAACTAAGTCCTCAATGACACCCTTAGGCTGCACAATGGACCTATCCGTCAACTGAATGTTCATCCTGGTAGTTCTAGGTTCACCTATGTCTAACTTTTGAAATAACCTATAAGGCATCACATTTATACTTGCTCCTAGGTCCGCCAAGGATTTTCCTATGCACATGTTGCCAATGAAGCAAGGGATAGTGGAACTCCCTGGATCTTTGCGCTTTGTTGGCAGGTTGTTCTGCAGGATGGCTGAGCACTCTTCATTCAAGGTTACTGTAGCCATCCCGTCCAGCTTCTTCTTGTTGGTGAGGAGGTCCTTCAAGTACTTTGCATACTTGGGCATCTGGGTGAGGGCCTCCACGGAGTGGATGTTGAGGTGCAACTAGTTCATCATATCCATTTGGCCTACGTGCAAGCTATTAGCTAAGTGAGTGTGTTTACCCTTATTTTATTCTGTTTTAAATACTCTTAATATGAAATTTTAAACACGAGATAATCTCTTGGTTAGGTTAATTCCATTACTTTCAAAAACGTAAAATTTTCCACATGTTTCAAAACTAAATAAAATAATTTATTTCATAACCACGATCAGCGGAACGTGGTTATAACTAAAACATCAAAATAAGGGAACTACGTGGACTTTGATCCCGACTACTCGGCTACGTAGGCAACCAATAGTTCGAGTCCTACTAACAATTTTCTCCCCTTAAATCATAAATACCAAATTACATCTCTTAAATGACAAAATCAATTTTGATCTTAATCACGTATCAATAGAAACGTGTTAAGATCCCTTATAAAAAACCTATCAATTTTATCGAACTACGTGGACTTTGATCCTGACTACTCGGGTACGTAGGCAACCAATAGGTTTCAAGTCCAACTAACAAACTTTTTCCACGTTTCAACGTGTGAGACTCAACATTTAAAATCTCTATATTTTCACGAACTACGTGGACTTTGATCCCAACTACTCCGGTACGTAAGCAACCAATAGGTTCGAGTCCAACAAATCAAAATACTTTCTTTAATTCTCGAGATTTACATCAATATTAATTCTATAATTAAATACGCAATAAGCCACAGATTTGGTACTGGAAACTTGTGTTGCTTAATGGCGTCTAGCCACTAGCAAATCGTGTCAACAAGATTTGGCACTGCTAATCTTATCGAGTTATTGGCAAAAGTGACCCACCCAAGCACTACAAATATGATTTTAGCTAGAGATTTGCTATTGCAAATCTCAAACAAAAACTAAATTTTATTTTGCTAAATTTGTTTTTAACCCGGACAAAAACTAGTGTCTACAGTTGCCCCCCTTTATATATCTCTATGTATTCAAGAGGTATACAAAGTTATCATAGCACACCATTTTTGGCCGATTTACTAATTGTATTGCGATATTTTAGTTTGGTGCATTTACCAAATTCTTTGAAGTTTTGAAGTCATTGATTAGCTTTCATGTGGCGTAGCCAAATTCGATTTCTTATTAGTTTCCTTCGTAGTGTAGTTATCCTTTGCGGGGTAGTCGTGTCATGTATACTTATTAGCTCCCATGACAGTGTAGCCGAGATGTAGGTGCCAACTATATTCCCTCACAGTGTAGCCTTCTTCGAAGTGTAACCTTCTTCAGAGTGGATCCTTCTCATGGGTCCTGATTAGCTCCCTCGTAGTGTAGCCTTCTTATGGGTACTAATTGTTTCCCTCGTAGTGTAGCCTTCTTCACAATGTAGCCTTCTTGTGGGTACTGTCATGGACATAGACTTCATTTCGGGTCGTGACAGTACTGATTGGCTCCCTCGCAGTGTAGCCTTCTTGTGGGTAGTAATTGGCTTCCCTCGCAGTGTAGCCTTTTTATGGATTCTAATTAACTCCCTCGCATTGTAGCCTTCTTGTGGGTGCTAATTGGTAGCCTTCTTCGCAGTGTAGCCTTCTTGTGTTTGAGGATATGCAGAGTTTTTTTAAAAAAAAAACATTAATCATAGGTGACATGGATTTGTATTTTTGATAGAAAATGTTAAAGCAACCAATTGAGAAATTCTAGACGAAATTCAAATAGGTCTCGAACTTGATCTTGTAAAGTTTATATGTGATGTCACATTGATGGATAATTGTCAAATGTTATATGGTTATATGATATGATCCAATGTCATGATGAGATATGTTGATGAAAATGTTCTTTCATTTTAAGTGAACTTTGAAAATTATGATGTTTACTTTGGCTATAAATTTCTTGAGATTTGCTACCTAATGAATGATGTCATATGATTAGTTTGAAGTGCGTTTGAAAATTATGCCATATGATGTATGTGAAGTGCATTTGGAAAAGGTTGTATGATGAGTTATAGGATGATGTCTCGAAGGTATGAAAAAGAAAGAGCATAATCCCTAATCATGGTCTTGTTGTTATTGTCATGAACTCTTTTGAATTGATCATCCAGAAGGAAACTATGTCATTCCCGTTTAATAAACTTGATCCTTAGCGGTGCTCGCACTGGAGTAACATGGGTTTTGTTGCCAGGTTCATTCTTCCTTTGGCGTGTCATTATCTTATGGGAATGGGCTTGCAGTCTAGTATTTCCTCTTTGTCTGTTCATTGAGCCAAATGTATGTCACTTCTGGGGACTGATGGAAGGATGGTCCCCTGTTTTCTCCAACTTGGACACTAGTGCTTGAGTGGCTGATGTGTTAGCCATATGATCTTCAATATATGTGCATGGTGAATTGGTTATGTAGAAGGATTTTGTAGCATGGTGGTTTGAGGATATGTGCTCCCTTAGCTTGATTGATATTCTTGCTATGAGAGTTTGTTGTGCTTGGCCAAGAGGAATTTGTTATCTCGGGGTATTGTCTTGTTGATGTCGGTTTTCTAAAGATGTTTGATCGACTTCATCGGGAGGTGTGAGGTACAAAATACTTTATCGAGGGATAGTTTGATTTACTAGTTGGGTAATTTAAACGGAATGAGTCAAGATATCCGAGATTCCCCGTTTACTCATGAGCTTATGAGTTGGGAGACCCACCTTATGAGTATTTGAACTCTTTCTACCCCGGCTCTTCTCACTTTGCCCGTAGATATGTTACTTGCTTTCCTCTATTCGGAACAAAGCATGACTTTTTCCAATCTCGACTTAAGATGAATGCAAACAATGCTTGAAAAATCTCATTTGAAAAAGTATAATGGGAAAATGATTTTAGAAATCAAAGCCTCACTTGAGGGAAGTGTGTGCAATTTGAGGAAAATGATTTCTTGTGTGGTTAGTGCCACATTGTTTAAAAATTTGTTTATTACAAGCAATGCCAAAAGAATGTCCTATAAGCCTATCTTTAATTTTCACTCTCACGCTCAATTTCGCTCTCACTCATTCCCATGGGTGCTTCGAGTTTACGATACTTTGGCTACTATTAAGATTCCGGCCACCATATTGTGAACAAATGTACTCGAGATATAAGTTTCTTGACCATGGAGAGTCAGGGTGATTATCGTATGAACCTGTGGTGAGAGTTCTCGATGTGTTTTGAAAGGAGTCTCTTTCCTGATATGGGCTCCAACTGTAAGAATCCTCGTGTTTTAGAAATTCTACTTTCGCTATGTGAGAAGAGGTTAAAGGAAATTCCTATGTAAAATGGCCTTAGTCATAGGAAGCTTTTTGTAGATATTTCTAGCTTGCCCCGAAGTATGAAGCGAGTTGGTGGAAACATGAGATCTTTGTTGAAGGGTCTCATTTGCCTCAAGAATGGTGGCTCGTCTAGGGTATCTTTCTAGATATATATTGACTCAGGTTGCCCCCTGTCTTGAAATTTGGATTTTGAGGTGTAACCTCGAGTGGATAAGTAACTGAGTTCATTTGAGTATAAACTCGATTTTGGAAGTCTTCACACTTGTAGAGGTCCTTGTTTGACCTTGAAAGGATGGATCCAGAAAGTCTTGGTGTAATGGAGGTTTCGACTTCTTATTGGCTTTCAA